TTGACACAATAACTAACAAGAATCAGAACAAGCGGATCAGATTAAGCATTAGGAAGACATTCTTTTTCCTCTTGTTTTCCTTGCCTTTCAAGTGGTAGAACATAGAGCAGACATAAGGACATAAGCCTGGAGGAAAGAAGCCAAGGAGGTCATTAAGTCTGTTTCTAACAAAGAGGATTTTAGGACTGCCTGCCTACTGCCAGGCAAGGCAGAAAGGTACCTCCCAGTCTGAGGTGCTCTATTCTTAATTAATCAAGGGGACTAAATTAAGATTTGGGGCAAAAACTTTATAGTAATAATCCCAGAGTGATTTTGCTTAGTGTCTCCTTGCATATTTTTAGTGGCAGACACCTGGTCAAAAAATGGAGATCTCTGGGTTAGGATACACATTTTAACAACATTATTAAGTTTACTTTGCAATGTACTACTTACTAATGGATTTAGTTATGAGAAAGCTATTCATAAATGATCAGACATGAACCATTCAAGTGACAAATGTTTTTCCATTTTCAACTGCAGACATTTTCATTTTTAACTGCAGGAAAAATAAAAATCTACATCATAGATTTTACTCCATAAAATATGCGCTACTTTGCAGTAAAAAGTATGAACTAAGGTGTTTTTTTCTATTACCAGTTACATAAATGTAGCAGTGTCACCCCAAATTTGCCATATTAAAAATGCCTGTACTAGCATAATGAAAAGTAACTAAAAAGTCTAGCTACTAATTGTGGAATAGTCATACTTTTCAAATTTACATCAATTATATACATTCAGGAAAAAAAGATTAAAACCCACAAACAAATCCCATCAAGTGTAGTTGACACAGGCTTATTTTATAATTATAATTATATTAAGAATTCCCTTTCAATTTCAGGTAGATTTTATTTTTGTGAGAATTATAGCCAATGTTGAAAACAAAAACAAAAACCCAACCTACTAAATGCCAAAATTAATCCTCAACTGTCAGGGGGAAAAGGATGCATATTATTTCATTTCATTCAACAATCATTTATTGAACTCTTACAATGTCTGAGGGGCTGAGTGTGTTACCTAATAAGGGACACTGAGGTAGTGAGAATGTTATATGTAGAGGTAAAACATAATGACAATAGTGGCAATAAAAATGAAGACAATATTGACATATTTAGAGAAGAATCAAGAGAATCTGACTATGATACAGTACTAAGGAAGACAAAAAAAATCCAAGTCTTTTCAGGTTTGAGTCCTAGGAGACTGAAAAATTGGTGGTATAAAAATATAAAAAGGAAAGCTGAGACAAAGAGGTGACTAGAGAAAAAGAAAATGAATTCATTTCTGGAAGCACTGAGTTTGAGGATATGCAAAAGAAAGATCCAGAAGTTATCTGGAAATAAAAGACTGAAAAGCTTGCATCTCAAAACACAAATTTAGTAGTTTAATAGAGAAAACAGTTGAAGTTATTAAATGAGATAACAAAGGGAATGAGTGTAGAGAAGGCAAGAGAATAAAAGATAAGATCTTGAGAAATGTTACATTTAGAGGACGAAGAAGTAGTTTCAGTAAGGAAGGAGTAAGTGAATGAAGTGCATTATAACAGAGGCCAAGGGGAAAGAAAGCCAGTGGAGGATGCATTCAATTTTCCAGTGTTTCAGACATATAGAAGAGGATGAGGTATAAGAAAAAACTACTGCTTTATTGGTGGCAGAGGAGATGGGGGGTAATGGCATTAGTGCAATGGACAAAAATAATTTCATGTGGTGGAGCATAAATCAGGCTAGTCGTGTACCACTGAATGAAGTTTTGCAGTTTATTTTGCATCTGAAAAAGGAAATATCCTTTCACAAGTTTTCCATCTATTATCTGTTACCAAAATAATATTCCTTAAAATTTCTTTTCATGATGTCTTTAGTCAAAGTAATTTTCTGATTAAGAAACAATCAATTTTAAAGATAATGTTTATTTCCTAGATATATACTGAAACAATCTTTTTAAAAATGACATATAAGGCCCTCACTATCTGGCTCCTACCTGTCTTTCAAATATGCCCATAACTTTCCAACTCAAACTATGCTCTAGTTACACTGAACTTTCTCTGCTTCTCTTTTGCACATTCTATTTTCTCCATGTGAAATGCTGTTTTTCTTACTAAATCTAAAAAGAAGAATCTGTTGAAAAATCAACTATTTTTAAGCCTTCCCTGCATTCTTTCCTGTATTCTCATAGCAAGTTTAAGGTTTACAAGCACATTACCCCTTATATTATTTGCACTGTAATTAGCTGTTTACATGTTTGTTTCTCTTGGCTTGAGTTAATTGAGGGCCAGGACTGTTACCCTGCACCACAAGAATCTAGGAAATAGCAGGCACTAAATAAATGTCTGTTGAATGAAAGAAAGAACATACCAGGAAGTCTTTTAAAAAGCAACTGATTTCTTTCTCTTAAAAAAGGTTAGGAAGCATCCAATCCTAACCATCACCGCCAAGATTCTATCACATTATGCTTTAATAGAGAGTCTTATTTTTTAAAAAATCCATTTTACAAAGTTAAAAATTTACCTTTATGTTTTCGTAAAAAATCAATGCTCTTCTGCAGAACGGTAGATTTGTCCATCTTTCTAGCATTACCAGGAAGCATGGATCCCAGCTCTTTAATGAGAACATTAAATTGATCTCTACGTTTCTTCTCAGATTTGTTTCTAGATACTCTGATGAAATAAAAAAAAGTAGTTTTCAATCTATTTAATTAAACAAATAGTTTAATATAATGCTCAATTTGGATACAACCACACAGTAAGTACTTTTGTCAATGTAGGTGGTAATAAATATTTATCTCCTAGTTTACCAGTAATATACAGTTAATCTGGGCAATAACTTTTCTTCCCAGTTTATCATTAAAGAAAATTCTACAAATTAAGCATCTGGCATACATGTTTTTATGAAAACGCCAAAAAGACAAACTGCATTAAAAATCTCAAGTTTTATTTAATCTAATATTTACCAAGAATTTGTATTTCCTTCATAAGGTTATTATGAATATTACCAAGATACACTTTTGCAAAACTACATAAAATGTACATACACAAATTATTAAAAATTATTGAGTAAGAAAAAGTTATCCATTTGCTGTAAGTTTTAAATTACAAACAGAAATCTAAAAATGAGAATCTCCCTGCCCTCAAGCTTACCCACATCTTCTTCCTCTTTAATTCTATATCCTAGTCTCCAACACAGAGCTAAATAATGTTTCCATATCTGTCCCTCCATTAGGCTGTGGGTTCCTTGATACTAAATCTCAAATTTTTTAATCTCAGCATGTAAGCATAAATCTAACATACAGTAAGCATTCAAAATCTATGTGCTAAATGAATAATTACTATATTCTATGTGATGCAGTAACCAGTAAACAAACAGCTGCACTGAGACCTCTCTGAGACAAGTAAAAACAATACAATTATTTATAGAGCAATTAACCATTCTATATCTCTAATTATCTGCTTTGTGAAGTCAGATTTTAGAATTGTTTTTGTTTAAGCAAAGTATACCTCTTTCCCAAAAGGTCAGAGGGTAATTTTATTCTAATGATTTGCTTTTCTGTAAAGAACAAGTATTTATTCGATATTAGTACTAGGAAAAAATACAATTGTATAAATCCCTTAAGAAACATGATAGATATTTACTGATTTCCTTATCAAATACTGGGTACTTGCTATAATGATAGAGACTATGTTAATAAGGGCTAAGGATACTAGAGAAAGACAAGACCTTTCAAGAAATTTACCTAATTCCTGTGGAAATTCAGGGGAACCAGGGATGGCATTCTAGCGTACTGAGTAGAGTCATGGAGACTGTGTGAGAAATGGATGGTAGTAGGGTACATGCAGGGCATTCTAGGCATAGAAAACTTGTACAAAGATGAAAAACACAAGCGGGAGCATGGTGAATGTGGCTAGTATATAAGCCCAAGTGTACAGTGCCCAAGTACTCTGGAGTTAGGGGGTAGGTGAGAATAATAAGTACTGAAAAAAAAAAAAAAAAAGGATGAAGTTTTTATGCTACATTAAAGAATTTTAACCCCGAAAGCTATGGGAAGGCACTGAAAGGCTTTAAGAAAAGAAATGACATGAACAGAACTGCTTGTTAATAAGACCGCTCTGGCATAGGACTGATGAAAGGCTCAATGCTTGGCAAAACAAATTCATTTAGCAAATAATACTAAAAACTTACTGTATGCCAAACAAGACTGAAAGTCAGATGACCATTTAAGAAGCAACTGCAATATCCTAGCCTATAAACCATGGCAGTGGCAGTGTTAACAAAGCAATGTGGGTTCGAGGATTAAGAGGCAGAACTATCATTCTTAGTAAATCAGATTTGGTTTGGAGTGGAGAAGCAAAAGAGAAATCTGAGACGATTCCCAAGTTACTGATAATGTGATTTGTTAGTGTGAAATATAACGTGTGATACGGGTTTTGGTGGACAGATGGTTGGGGAGAATTTAGGTCTGGTGAAATGGCCTGACATTTTAAAGGACATACACGAGAAGCATTAGATCTATGTATCTAGTTATATTCCTCTAGAAAAGAGTAAATAAAAAATAAGCATCTGAGAATTAGCATATATGAAATATCTGAACACCTAGATAGGGGGTAAAAATAGCAAATATTTGTTGTATACTTATTTGCCAAGCACTAGTAAATTTTTATGAAATCTCATTTAATTCCTAAGAGGTAGACTTTATCATTATTATTATTATTTTTTCATTTTACAGGTATGACAACTCAGGCATAAAAAACATGCCTAGAGTCATATAGCTACTAGGAAGTAATAATTCGAATCAGGCATTTTGATTCCAGGGGAAGAAAATAATAGAAATCAAATATCGTTACCAACTCTACCACTGGATCACATCAATTTATGAAAACTTTATTTCCATATCACATTCAGGTTGGACATACATAGCCCTTGGAATGACTTCACTGATAACAGGTCACAGATGTTTAATTTTTCAGATAGGTACAAAACTCCCTTTGTTCTGGGTTCAACACTAAGGTCTTTAACTCATTGTTTTCAGTCAGAGTTCAGTGTGGTCCGTTTAACTCTGACAGTATCATTAAGAGGGTCCTTCTCTTTCTCCAGGGTTTTCCACAGTAACAGTACTACTGGTTCCCTAAAAACACGATCAGACCTTCAGAGTCTTTGCAAACAGAACACCCTTAGCTCACTTTATCCATCTATAAACTTCGTCGTTAAGACTGTCCAAGTCAATTCCTTAGAGTTCTGCCTCTTAATTCAGGCAAGATTGATTATTCCCATCTTAGAGACTTTATCTCTACTCTGAAGTATTTTATATGAACTTTCCTCCACTAGACTGAAGACAGGGAGTGTCCTATTTCCTTGAATAAAGTTGCACAGCTTTCCTCAAAATCTTAATTTTAATAATTTGTTAAAGCATTTAGCAATTTATGTGGTTATGAATACTTTTCTTATCCCAGTTCCTTTTATTTTGCTAAATATAGACCTTTAAGAACTATCACTTATTACGTTTATCCTTTGTATCTGTGAGTAATACTACAATACTCTCTACCACTGTCTATGTACCCAGATAGTTCAATGTGGTGAGAAAAAAACAAAGTATTTATTGCTCACTCTGAATGACTACAAACTTGGCTGTAGTGCTATCTGAACCCTCCCCCCTAATACTATAATTAGCTGCCAAGGCTCCTATTTAAGGTCAAGGCCCTCACCATCACCATCATGGTTCTAAATCTCATTCCCTCACCTACTTGATAACACCACTCCAACAATTCTTCCCTCCCTCTATCATCTACTTTCCCTTCTACTGGAGACTGGAGGCATGTCAAAGGACACAGAAGCCAACCCTGAAAGACCTCCCAATGACCAAAGTTGAAACAATTTAAGCAACAAGATAAATGACACTGAAGTACAGCCCAAAGTATAAAATAAATGAATCCATAGAGATATAAATAAACGGGAGAGACAATTTTTTTACAGAATTCCAAATATGTGTAGAGTTGGAGCTTAAGTACCCCCATCCCTACTCTGAAGGTGGGCTACAGTTAATAACTTGCCTCCAAAGACTAGAGTAGGTTAAGGGGAAAACAGTAACTACAATGGTGAATCCAGGCAAACCCTAACCTCAGCTAAGTGATGAAGATTAACATCTCCAGTGACATCATGTAAATACTATGTACCCATAATATGACTTGATGAGATGGGCACATTTACAGGATCATTTTATTTATTAACTGCATACTGATATTCTAAGCTCTTCCACCTGACTACTATATCTAAGTTCTTAGGGCAGATAGCTTTTGGAAATCACTGATTTACTATTTGTTACTATTACAATTACTTATTATTCATCTATTTACTATTTTACGTCTTAAATTGAACTACCTTTTTGCTTTGTCCTTGTCATCTTCTTCCACCAACCCATCAAAAATACTACCATCATCTCTAAAAGAAAAAAGAAAGTGAATAGAGAAAATAAGAGCCAACTCCACAAGCAACAGCAATACTAAAATGACATGTGAATCAAATCAGTTATATCCTAGAGTTTCTGTAGTGAATGCTTAAATTCAAACTCATAACACTAACCTGTTTTCTAATAAATATTATAAAATTAAAGTTTAGTTGTTTTTTGTTATATTTTAAAAGTTGATTACAAATGTGGATTTTAAAACTGCTTACTTTAGCTGTAATATATACATAACATTAAATTAGAATTTAATTTAATCAGAAGTTAGATATCTTGTTTCGAACTTTTAGTGACCGTGAAACCTATAAAAAGTCAATCTTTTTGCTATTATATAAAATGATTCTCACTTGAAGTTATTTTTAATTATAATAGCATAGTTGATTAGCACTCATATGCCAGGCTCTGTTCTGGGGATGGTTACAGAGCAGTTAACCAGACATATAGGCCACTGCTCTCCTACAGTTTATTTTCTAGCAGAAAGAAATAAATCAACGCAAAAATATACAACAGTAAGTTTTATTTTTTAAAAAAAGGAGTAATGTTTTAGTTGTGGGGTGGTTACTCTGCTCTGAGTGGTTAGGGAAGGACTTGTTGAGGGGGCGACATTTGAGCTAAGATCTAAGTAACAAGAAAAGGTTGATTTGGGGAAGACCTAGGAAAGAACATTCTAGCAAATGAAATCAAGAGCATCGGTGGCTAACCCCTTAACCTGAGGAGCGATATTAAGAAGTTTCAGGTGATTTATGAGATTTTACACGTATTCACTATCAGTCTGTGGCTTATAAAGGCTTATAAAGTACCTGGTGGACCCATTACTGAGATTATCTGTAAATTTTGCATCATAGAGGTCCATGTATGGACTTTTGGAGTTCTAAGTACACACTAAAATTTATGAAAACTTTGGTATGTATATGCATTTTATTGAGGAGAGAGTTCATAACTTTTCCCATGCTCGGGAGAGATAATGAACTCATATTAAGAATCACTGCTTTAAGTCTGAATATAGAGATGTCATAACTAGATGTCTTATTGTTTAGAATGGGAATTGGCAATCATTGAGAAGTATAATGCCCAAATCACATTTAATTTCTCAGATGCAGTGAAGAAAAATCTTTTCTGTGGAGAGGACTACACATAGATCCCACCTGAAACTATGGCATAGCCCAAATCAATGGCAGTGGTATAAGCAGGCCTCTCTAAGGAAACTCCTTGCCCCTCAGGTCTTAAGTACTGGTATAAGTAGGCCTCTCTAAGGAAACTCCTTGCCCCTCAGGTCTTAAGAACATAATTAATATATTATGTATCTTCACTGTTTATCTCATAGGAAAGGGAGAAGAGCTGCCCCCAGCCATCAAAAGTCACTTCTATATATAACTCCAGCTACAAAACTCTTAAAGAATACCCCTGAAAGAATCACACAGTACACTACAATAAAAGCACGGAAACTTTAGTGTCAGACTGACCAACACAGGTCGTAATTCCAACTCATTACTTACTGTGTGACCTTAAACACATTATCAACCTCTCTGACCTATAGTTCCCATACCTGTAAAATCTCATAGATTGTGAGGTTAAAGAGTAGGAGCTTAAAAATGTTTCTGTATTTCATCAAGTTTAAGACACATAACAATGAGACTTGTCAGTATATTTTATGTGCTGCTAAGAAAAAAAATGTTACCAATTAAACTGTAATAAGCCAATTTTAAGATGAATCCCACTGTCAGAGATGTTAAAATGCAAAAAAAAAAAAAAAAAAAAAAAGGTTTTAAAATCAAAGAAACAGGTGGTTTATCCTTTTCCCAAGAGTAAGATTTAAAGATTGTAATTTCAGCTAATGAAATCCTAATTATAGTTACCTCTTAACAGTTACAAATGCTAACATGCTTAATGAGATGGAGTTAGCACCAATAAGTAAGGGGGGAAAGGACAAGAGATAAAGAGATAGAAGATTCCAGAAGGTACCAAAGAAACATTTGTAATTGTCACAATTTCTTTCAGAGCAGCTCTCACCACATCACCCAAACTTATAGTTCAAAGACCCACTTAGAACATGAACACTGTTAACTTTGGCTCTAGACAATATACATTACTTATTATTATATTATGTTTGCTCAATACAGAAATTAAATGCAATAGTAATTATGCTTAAGCATAAAACTACTTTTATCAATTTGATATAGACCGTTACTCTAATAGTGAATTTTCAAAAAGCTTTATATAATTCAAAATAAGAGTCTCTAATAACATACCTGTCAACAATTGAGCTCATTTTACTACAGCTTACGGTAAACAACATAACATATTACGTTTTCGTCTTGTGGTAGACATTTGTACTTCTCCTTGGGTAGAAAGAAAAATAAAGTCATTAGTTTTCAAAAAAATTCATCCTATAAACAAAGTAATCTTGAGAAACACTATATGTTGTTATAGAGACTTCAAAATATCTTTGTACTAAAGGCTAGAACATTATTTTCAAGTAAATAGCTTTAGCTGGGGCACATTTGAGGTTTTTTTCCCTTCTAAAAAAGGACTACTGGGGAAAAAATTGAGGTTCATTTTCTTTCTACTATAAAATAATAAAAATTAAAAAGCTATGCTTAACATTCACTATATATATTAGACTATGTAACTATAAATAGGCTGTAACTATAAATACCACCATCTAGTCAGCAATAAATGGTTGCTGCAAGCCTATTTTCTGTTAAGTAGTATGATAAGCTTTGGGAATACAAAGATGAAAGACATAGTCCCTATAGGTAAAAATCTAGAATTGGATGGGGAGATACATACCTAAATAGTTACAGTAAAAGGGATAATGATGGTATACAGGGGGGTCAGAGGAAATATCTTTGATAACAATGAGTTTGCCAGATAGTCTAACTAGACTGTTGTTACTAAAAATGTGGTCCAGAGACCATCAGCATCAGACACATCTGTGAGCTTGTTAAGAGACAGAATTTTGGGCCCCACCCTAGTCCTTCCGAAACAAAATATATATTTTAACAAGGTCTCCATATGATTTCTATGACCATTTAAGTTTGAGAAATAGACTAGAGAACAGAAGAGGTATAGTTGAAATGATTATAAGCCATACGAAGAGCACTTTGCAAAGGCACAGACAGGCCTTTGTGAGATGAGGGAGCACCATATTTGTAAAAGTTAAAGAGGTTTAGCATTTTCTTTAGAGAAGAATCTAGGCATGTTACAACTAAAGTTTTAATCACTAGTGCTTAAAGTGAGAATAGGACTGGTAGAGGGGTGAAAGCAAGTCAAGTAGAGAAAGCCTTATTATTAAAAGTCTCATACCCACATTAAAGGAATTAAAATTTACTGCTTTAAAACTGAATCACAAGCCTAACATTTGTCTTTCTATATTCCATATAGAATCTAAAGTGTAAAGGTTTTGTTTATATATGATACTTTGTCCTATAGTCAGTCATAAGTGAAATATTGAAAAATCACCTTAATCTTAATATCCTAACATTTATGAAGCACAAAAATATTCTACTTTAACTACATTTTTATTTAAAATTTAGAAAATAGCGTAAATTAATGTGTAACTCTAATTAAACCAGAGATTAAAGATGTTCTAAGAACATGAGATTCTAAAATAGTTAACATTTACAAATGTATATTCATGAGAGCAAGAGACAATAACCTTTGATAAATGATGCTGCATTGTGGTTATGGCTGTAGAATTGAGACTGAAAGACTAAGAGTTTTTAAAAGAAAATGAGTGGGGGAGTCAGAGGTAAAACTAAAAAGAACTAGGATAAAATACTGATTTTAAGTGTCTGGGGCAACATCAGCAGATGGAACACAGAATTACAGAATTTTAGAGTTAGAAGATCACCTAAGTACACACAGCCCAGCCCTCTGGTCCAAAAGATGTACTTATCATCAGAGTAATAATAGAGTTTGGTTCTACGACTACAATAAAAAGAACAATGCAAAGGTAACAAAGCCAATTTGGGTGAATTAAAAAAGAGCAGTTTCAGTTTAAAGGCCAGATCTAAGCCTTATTTGGCACTGAATATATATTTTTTAATTATTAAAAGGTAAAACAGAGCAAACTAGAAAATAAAAAAAGGATCTCAAGAATTAGGGCTTAGACTATAGGAAGGGCCACACTGAACTATAAGAGCGAACACAAAATGGTTTAGAAGACACAGACTGATGCTTTATTAAGGTATTTTACTATTGTTATTAACAATAGTCTTCCAAACGTTTGTTGTCCAGCTAACTGAACAACGTAAGACTATATCTCTAACAGTCTAGACCAATATTTTATCTCTACTTTTCCAGCCAACTGATAGAGACATGTTATATTTAAGGAAAAGATAAGGAAAGAAGTGAAATAGGCCTAAGTACTCTAGAGCAATTGTTAGAAGATTCCTCTTGACTTTTTTAAATGGTGTCAAATTAATTTTAACAAAACAAAGTGATAATGGGGAAACAGCCAAAGGTTTTGTGTGGGGACTACCCTACAATTCACACTTTCAGTACAAAAAGACTAGCCAGAGTCACACTTGCACATGCTATGGATTCTAAGAATTCAGTTACAGAAGACATGTGATGTCCCTACACACCACACGGAATTTCAAGTATTTAGTCTAATATAGATTAATTTATTAAGTATTTTTTCTTAAATATTTACAATAGGCTAATATAATATGCAATATGTCGGAAAAGATCAGTTAAGCCACTGGAATCTAAAGTTCACAAATTAAATTATAAAAGATCAAGTTACAGCTAGGAATCAAATGCTCCTTTAAATAAAGTATCAGAGCTCAAAGTCATTCAGTGATAGGACTTCCCAGCTGAGTAAGCACCACTTTACTATTTTATAACAATGGAGGGCAAGGGCAGCATGTGTCTTTTATAAACAGTTTAAAAACAAGCTTTAAAACAAATGGGGAGATATTAGTAACTAAGAAACTATAAACAATTCAAACTGTACCAAATACAGAAGCAGATATGTTTTTAATTCAGTATGCAACATTATACATAATTAACAGTAAATCTCAGGGCCTGGCAGTCAAACTTTGGGAAAGAGCCCTTATACATAAAATAACAGTTATTAAAAATAAACTGTGCAGTATCAAATGACATACTATTTGTTCTCTGAAACCCATCTACTGTCACCTCCCAAGGTTTTGCATTCCTACATCACTAATTTCTCCTCTATGACTGGATTATTCTGATCAACATCTTAGTATTTTACCTTAAAAAAACAAAATACAAAAACTTCCTTAACCTCAACCCCCTTCAGGTGCTGCTCCCCTTTTCTCCTTTCACAAGAAAACTGATTGTGAGTTGTACACTGCTGCTATTTCAATATCTTTAATTCCATTCTCTTATTTTAAAATTTGGTATTTTCACCAATGTGTACATGTTCATAAAGTATCTAGTTTTATAAGACACTAAAAAATCAGGAGTCCTCTGATCCCCACTTCCTACTTTCATCTGTTTCTTTTAGTAGTTAATTCCTTATCCCTAATATCTTTGTTACTTGATTTCTTCTGTTTTAGATAAGATGCCTACACAGTCACATTTTGAGTTGTCTCAATGTAATTATTAAAAGTGTTTGCTTTTGCTCTCAGTAGTGTTGTTTTTAGGCAACATCTATTGAATTCCACAAGAAAAATAAGAATTTAGCTCTGACTCCCCTCATCCTTACCTTCGCACACTTGCCCAAATTCTCAACATCATAATTTTACTAGGTGGTTATATTCAGAGGTAACATGATTACTACTCTGTTAATACAAATCACAGCTGAGCCATATAGTATACTAAAATTACTTTCCCTTTCTAAGTTTCCCCTAGTTAAAAATTATTTTAACCTAGTTTTCTATATACTTATCACCGATTGAGCCCCAAACTCTTCTCTATCTAAATTTATTCTTAGTATCTTAAAACACATTACACATTCTACCAATTTACACTGCTTGCAACCATTTCTCTCAGCACCTTCTGACTTATTCCAACTGGAGCTGGATACTCTCAATAACTGACCAGCTGTAATCTTGGGATCACTATTCATTACCATCCTGTGATTTCCCGGGACTCTACTGAGGTTGCATTCCCTGTTTCTGATATGGCTTCATCTTTCTGTAGTCAATTTTTGTTGAGTACCTTCTATAATAACTGCCCAACAAAGGACACATGGAAAGGTAAGTTTTTTTTTGAGGCAACATAAGTCTATCCTTAAAATGATAGTTTTGTGTTTTGTTTCCGTTTTTACCTGCCAACCTGGTCTCAATTTCCCCTAACTTGGCATTTTCTCTTTTGGTATGGTCTTGGACTCTCACAACAAGGCTTTCCTCTAAATTGTCTAGTGATCCCTGGTCACAGGTTCATATTTAAGAGTGGGATACTAAGAAGATCACTGAAAGTCTGTGTGACAGGGCTTGCTGACTATGAACTTAACTGTAGGAATATCAGGTTAGAATATTTCTTTGGGGGAATTCTTAATGTCATTATCTTCAGATTAGGCTGTTCATAATTCCCAGAGAAGAATCTTCTAAACTACTGACTGAAAATCATAAAAATCCAGTAGCCTACGTTCTTAATTCCCCTATTTTTAATATGGTACCCCCATTCTTAACTATGTTTTATACCCCTCTATTTTATTCTTCCTAGAGAATAAATCTCTAGTCTTCTGCTGTGATAGGGAAGAGGTAGTTGCCTGGGTTTTCAAAATCAGAAAAACGATCTATGGAGTAGAAACACCTCTTAAAGAGACTTGCAACAAATTGTCCTGCTTTTAGTCCCACCATCATTCCTATTTGCAGAAGTAAAGAATGCTTAAACAATTCGTGAACATTTTAGGAGTTCTTCAGTGCTACTAACTTTGTTTCTCAGCATTCCCACAGCTGGCTTGGGATTCTAGGATCTATAAGACAGTTATCACACTTCCTTTTGCTTTTCTGGTTCTAAAACTGTATTGCAATTGTTTCCTCTCCCATTCTCTTTATCCTTGTGAAGTTATGTCTTCTGTACAAATCCTTTTACTTCAGCTTAAAGGGAGTTTTGAGAGAAAATGAAATTTAATTGAATTGTCTGTCATCTTTAACTAGAAGTTTCTTATTCTCCATCAATTTTAGTCAGGCTTTCATCCTTACACTCTGAGATGGTTCACTCACATTAGTTATCAGTGTTACTGACGTGGCTAAATCTAATGGCTGCTTTACTCTCTATTTGACATCTTAGTAACATGTGATATAACTGACCACTTCTATTTATTAAACACTTTTCTTGGCTTCTGTGACAGAACACCTTCCTGCTTTTCCACCCATCTCACTGGCTGTTCCTTCTCCTCTAATTAACATTGGCGCATCCTAAAAATACATCCTTTTCAATCTATGTACACTTCCTAGATAATTTCATCCAGACATATGACTCTAAAAGTATCTATGCCATTAACTCCCAAATCCATACCCCTAGACCAGATTCTCAGCTTCAGAGTCGTATGTCAACCACCTTTTTGATATGTCAACAGATTTTACAGGTATCTAAAATATCATACAGCAAAATTTAGTGACTTTCTTCAGTAAATTTTTCTTCTCTAACCTGAACTCCATATACTCTTCGATGGAGAATAAGAAACTTCTAGTTAAAGATGGCAAACAATACAATTAAATTTCATTTTCTCTCAAAACTCCCTTCTCTTTCTCCCCTTTTTTTTCTCTAACCTGAACTCCATATACTC